ATTAAGATCCCCAGAGTATTCCTGAAAAAGGTCAAAAGTGAATTTAGTAACTTCTGGGAATCCAAAGCACATAGACTGAGGCAACTATTGATGTCTTGTCCCAAATGATACGGAGTTCTAGGTTTTCCCGACCCTCTAAAATATAATAAAGCAGTTCACATGGTTAGAATTCTAGACTGGTGTACCCAGGGATCGACTAGGAGATGGATTCAATTAGAGCAGGCATTAGCCAGGGTTCCTCCGCAAAGATTATCATGGTGCTCAGGTGCATAACCCCATTCAGTAGCCTCTCACCCCTTACTTGCTACCACTCTCAACATTACTCCGTCAGGGACGTTTTCATCTCCAAAAGGGTACCATTTGATCCTCCGGGAAATTCAAGTTTACTACTACCGACATTCAGACAACAGTAGAGCCCTCTTTCATTTTGGAGTGCGCTACAAATTCAACACTTCCATTCCAGTGTTTGGAAGGATGGTCATTCCTTACCTCCTAAGTTGGATTTCAAGCAGATGTGTTCCTCATCGACTCTACTTCAACATGGGATATCTGTTTCATACAATCTGCTTGCTCACCCGCTTGATCTACTGCCCCTTGCATACTATGAAAAATGGGAAGCTGATCTAGATACAACTTTCATGGAACAGAAAGAAAGGATCCTGAAACTTACTCTGCATCATTGCAAGCAAGAACCAGGAAACTAGATTTAAAATTTTGTCCTGCTGGTATGGAGTCCCTCAAACCTTGCATAAGCTCTTCCCGCAGTACCACCCATTTTGTTGCAGTTGTCAGCAACAGGAGGGCTCTATGAGTCTCTATGTTTTGGGGATGCCTGGTAGTACACACCTTCTGGAAGCAGGTGGGAGTCTCATCTTTCAAATAATGGATGTACAACTGGGAAATTTGTTATATACAAATAAACTTTCTCCTTGAGATGTCTGGGCAAACCGCTACACTTCCTCCAAAAGACATTCTTGGCATCCCGTATCACTTTTAGTTGCTTAGTATAGCCATTTTGTTTGACCCACATTACAGTTTCTGGAACACTGGCAATATTATTGTACCCGTTTTGCCATATTGTATACTATTGACTGAATGGTTTGTTGGTTTCTCTTTGTGCTGTACTTCTTTCTCAAGAAAATGTTATTAAAATATATATATATATATATATATATAAATATATATATACACACATATACATACACACACACACACACACACACACACACACAAATATATATCCAAAACAAAACCAGAACAACATTTGGTAGTTTATAAAAATATATATTTCACATTACATGGAAAACTTAGAATGTTCACAATTTGTTCATTTAAAACATGGGAATAATATGTTTACAGTCCATTTTATGAAATAATTTATATTGCCTTGCAATGCCAAAAACCTAAAATTATCACTATTGTCATCTATCCATGCATTCAAAGTATAGGGTTTACAATTCTTAGTCATCACAGCATAGTGACTATTTCAATAACTTTACTTTAAATAAGTCAACATTTTTATTTTATAATATATACACACACACAGTCTTTCAATAAGAGTAATAAAACATTATGGCCTAAAACATATGTTCTTCCCCACCTAATGTTTGCACTAATCACACACTAAGTGAACTCATTGGCTGTCTTCCAATTACAATGGGGAATCTAGTAACAACATAGTTTCCCTAGTTTTGTCTACCTGCTGTAGCTATTGCAAAGCCAAATTGTGCGGCTACCCTCCCTTGATGGGTGCTACATAATGTAAAGCAAAAAAAAAAAAATAACACACAAAACAGCAACTTTCATTCAGACCTTTTAGCAAGAGGATAGTGACAAAGGTTATTCTGAGAAAAAAAAAAAAAAGTAGCCAGATGGATGCATTTAACTGCTTCCCGCCCGACCTATAGAAAACATTATGGCTGGGCGGGAGCTTTCCCATTCTGGGTGGACGTCATATGATGTCCTCCCCAGAATGGGCTGCAGCACGTCACCCACTGTGTCCACCAGACACAGCGGATGACAGATCAGTTTACCAGCCTACTGTGACCAAATGCGGCATATCACATGACAATTGTACACAATGGATGGCTTCCATTCAATTGTGTACTATTTTGATGATGTCTGTGATTGGTTACAGTGATCACATAGTACAGAAAGGGCCAATCACAAGAGTACACACTAAATGAATCAACTTCATTCAGAATAAATGTTTTTTTAAAACAGTGATTTTCACTGTTATAAGCAGTGTGTGTAAAAAAAAATAAAAAAATAAAAAAATAAAAATCCTGATCACCTCCCTAGAGTAGTACAGTGTTGCAGTATGCAAAAAAAAAAAAGAAAAAAATATTTAAAAATTACAATTCTTGTTACATACGGTCATTAGTCAGTGTCTCTGATCACTGCTATACAAGTTATAGGATGACGCTGTACTGCACTGGTGACAGTATTTTTTTTTTTTAACAAACACACACACAACCTGTCTTGGCATTTTTAAGTCTCAAGAAATGAGGTCAGTACATCAGGATTGATCAATTTTCAGAGAGCGAAAGAGAAAAAAAAACAAAAAAAATAGGGTGTATTTATATTACACACACCATAATTTGTGGATTCTAACAACTTTCCTACAAACTAATGTACACCAATTTGGGTTATTTTCACCAAAGAAATGTAGCAGTATACATGTTGGCCCAAATTTATGAACAAAGATTTATCTGCAAATTTTTCTAATAGAAACAAAGAAAAATGTGTTTTGTTTTTTTTAATTTTTGACCTTTCCATTTATTTAGCAAAAGATGAAAAACCCGGTGGGGTTAAATACCACCAAAAGAAAGCTATTTGTGTGAAAAACAATTATACAAATTTTAATTTGGGTACAGTGCTGCAAGATCATGCAATGGTCAAAGTGTGATAGAGCTAAAAATTGGCCTGGGCAGGAGATGAAAAGTGCCCGGTATTGAAGAGGTTAAAGTCTGCAGAGAGACATTGTGACTTAATACTTAACACTTCTGCCTCGCAGCTCTAGGGTCACTAAGCTTTGGTTCACACCAGTGCAGCTTTGAAATCACACTATTTCAGCGTGATTTCAAAACTGAAGATCTCTGCGATTTGGATTTTCTATTTCATTGCTGCTTGCAACTTCTTTACAGAAGTCAATGCAAGTAGCAATGAAATCACAGAAAAGTAGTTCAGGAACTTTTTTCAAAGTCGCTGCGACTTGATTTGCAACGATTTGGACAGTTCCATTACCGCAAATGGGGTGCGACTTGTCATGCAATTTTGAACTGTCAAATCACATGACAAATCTTATTGGTGTGAATCAGGGCTTAATACAATGGATTTGTATGTTCTCACTTTGCTTGTGTGGGTTTTCTCCAGGTAATCCGGTTTACTTCCATACGCCAAAGACATGCAGGTAGGTTAATAAGCACCTACCCAATTTTTTTTTTTTATTTTAAACTTCACCATTTTATTTACTTCAAAGAGCTGCAGGCTGGGTCATTCCTGCCCTGCAGTGACCTGGCCTGCAGTTTACTGGAGTTTGACTAGGGATGAGTCTGGAGTAAATCTGAGCTCATCACTAGTACGGAACTCACATTGCTTACAGCGCTATATAAACACTTGTAATGAAGAATTAAAACTCTGCATGGAAGAGATATATTGGATTTACAAATGTAGGTTCCTAATGGCTTCGGGTTTCAATGAAGAATTAGATTTTAGCACCATTTTATGATTGTGGTCTTTTTTTAGCTCTTTTATATATTTTAGCCTGTGAAATGTTAACACTTTTTTGCATATCAGGTTCACTAGGATGCTCAAGTTATCTACTACATACTATTCTGCCTGGGAGTAATCAGACTTGTTAATCTGCTCCACTGTTTCTATGTGTATATCTATATCTTTGGACAACAATCTAACAGTGGTAATCCATCATGAGTTTTTGTTTGTTAAACTCTTGGAAATACATTGATACACTTTTTATTTATTCATAATGATTTATGTAGTTATAATGGTGTAGGGAATATGTTTAGTGTACCATTTTAAACTATACTTTACACAATTCCCTGTTTTACATCCCCATGCTCCTACAAACATTTTTTTTTTATGGATGACATTCTCATGCTCCATCATATGCTTGAGAAAAACAAAAAACATTTCCTCCACAATACAATGCCGTGTTCTAGGGGGATCCAAAGCAGAGTTCACCACTGACTTCAGCTTCTGTTGGCCACATGTTGACATCTCTCCCCATGATGTTCTCCAACACTTGCTAGACTCTCAGGACACAGCTAGACTGGCAACACAGGCTTTTCTCAGCAGCACATAAGCATACTTTTATTAACCCTCTGTGCACAATCTTTAACAGCTGTTTTAATTAAGGGTTGAACTATTTGCTGTTTCCAGTTTTAATACAAATCATGTTTTCATATAAATGATTATCATTGATGTAGCAAATTGAAAGATTGGCATCTTATGAAGGATTGGGTTCTAGCGGTTATTCCATGAAAAGATCTAAAACTGCTCATCCCTATCAGCTATGCTGCCATCAGTCACAGATAAGCCTGTGTTGCTTTTACTATTTCTATTTGATAATTATTTCCGATATGAGGATTCCCTCCTTCATGATGCAAGTCTGTTTTTATTGATTTTTTGAGTGATTATTTTACCCTTATCAAGATTGATTTGCCTTGTGATCAAGGTTAGGTTTTTGTGCCCCTCTCCTTTTTTTTTTTGTTCAAAGGCTACTCTTAGAATATCTCATGAACAGAAGTCTGCAAGAGACATGATTCAACACTTCGGTGTTGACCCAAAAAAGAAACTTTAGTATTCTTTTTAACAGATTAATTTCAAAGCAAATCAAGCTATTATTTTGTAAACAGTGCTCAGCAACTTTAAAAATTATACTCATCACCTATGCAGAGTTTTGTTGCTGTAGTTTTCAAAATACTGCTCACTGTTTGTCAGTCTAAGGTTCCTAAGCAAGTCTTAATGAATGAAGTTGTTCAAGACTTCAGTCCCATTTTTTCCATCATTTCTTCATATACTGTCCATGCCATTGCTGCCATGAGGGTTCGACGTAATGCTCGAGGTAGACCCCCATTAAAGAATCCAGTCAAACCGTGATTCTAAAATAAACAAATACAATTAATAAATATGCTAAAGGAAGATTCTACTGAATCAAAATCCTTGTTTTAGATGATAGGTTAGCCCTGTGTTATCTATACTATGTTTGCTAATGTTTTTATATTGTTCAGATTCCAAGATATAGCATAATACCATCTTCCAGTTTCTAAAACTGTCCAGACTGCTACTATGCAAAACCTCTTTAGCCAGAACACCAGAAAAGTGCTGGCTTTGTCTGTCCAACTTGAAAGCCTAAACAAACACAAGCCCGGTAAAAATCTAACCATATACAATTATTGCACAAATTGCCTTTAGATTTACCAAAACCATGTAATATAAAAAAGGACCTTCATAAAACTATCCAATCAGTCTGTATACAATCACACAGACCTTTGCATTGCTTTGTTGGTAGATCTAAAGAAGATAGTAGTCACATCATAATGTGTGTAGTGAACTTAAAGGTGAACTTCACCCTAAAGGGGAAATTCTGCTTTATGTCCTCCACTACTATATTTGGCACAATAACATTTTGTTAGGTGGAGCAGATACCCAATTTTGCTAGGTACCTGCTCCCACTTTTTGCTCAGACCACCTAGGCAATATGAGCGGAAGTTCAGCCTCCATCTTTGCCCGTAGACACAGGACCTTTCACAAAAGCTCAGCATAGCTTGCGCATGCGCAGTGGTAAGCCGACTGTGAAGCCAGAGTCACAGCTGGCTTTGCCTAAAATGTGTGGGTGCCGGGGACCCAAAAGACCAGCAAAGAACCAGCCCAGGTGAGGACATCGCTGGATCCCTTTTTATTAAAAGTCAGCAGTTAATTTTTTTTTTCTTTCTAGGGTAAATATCTTTTTTTAATCTACTGATCCAGAATGAATTGCATCAGACTTTACTCTTACTTTTTTTTGGCACATTTGTCACACAGAAATGATTCAGATCAAGCAAATTTTTATTATTACACAGATAAACTACAAAATGCAGTTTTTGAATGAGGACATGCAACGCTGCACATAAATGAAATGTGTCCCCCCCCCCAAAAAAAAAAAAAAAATAGAGCTCTTTTGGCGATATTGGATCACCTCTACGGTTTTTTATTTTTTGCACTATAGAGAAAAAAAAAAACCCAATATTTTTTATTTTCTGCTATAAAACATCCAATAAAAAAAAACCCACAAAAAAATAAATAAAAAAAAAATACATTTCTTCATAAACTCAGGGCAAATTTATTTTGCTACATATTTTTAGTTAAAAAAAAAAAAATAAAAAAAAAATAATAATACCAATAAGCATACATTGATTAGTTTATGCAAAAGTTATAGCGTTTACAAATGGCAGTATGTATGCTGGAATGTTTCTTATTTATTTTTTATACAAGTAATGGTGGTGAACAGCGACTTATATGGGGACTGCGATACTGCAGTGGACATTTTTACACTGACACTTTGTAGGAACCAATGACACTATTACAGTGATCAGTGCTACAAATATGCACTGATCACTGTACTAATGACACTGGGTGGGAAGGGGTTAACATCTAGGGCAATCAAAAGGTTAAGTGTGTCTAGTTATGTGATTTATGTACACTAAGTGGCATTGGTACTATGGGAAGTGAAAGATAGTGTTCCCAGCTTCACAGGGAAACTTGATCTTTCACTCCCCACAAGTCAAAACAGAGCTATGATTTTGCACAGGAGGGACGCCCTGTAACAGAAAAACTGTTATAGGGCGGTCCCAAAGTGGTTAAGGAAAAAAAAAAAAGCTTGCCAAACCTGCCTGCTCCTATGAGAAATAGTAAATGCTCCCTAAACTGGTTGTTCCACCTTTGGCGGCAACAACTGCATTCAAGCATTTGCAACAACTGGCAATGAGTCTTTTACATCATTGTGGAGGAAATAAGGCCTACTCTTCTTTGCAGAGTTGGTGTAATTCAGCCACATTTAAGGGTTTTCAAGCATGAACAGCCTGTTTAAGGTCATGCCACAGCATCTCAAATCAGATTTAAATCTGAACTTTGACTAGGCCACTCCAAAACCTTAATTTTGTTTTTTTCTGAGCCATTCAGAGGCAGACTTGTGTTTTTTCAGATCATTGTCCTGCTGAATAACCGTTAGTCATGAACTGATAGCCAGACAATCAGGATTTTCTGGTACAGGGCAGAATTCATGGTTCCATCAATTTTGGCAAGTCGTCCAGGTCCTGAAGCTGCAAAACCACCCTCAGACCATCACACTACCACCACATTTGATTGTTGGTATGATGTTCTTTTTTATGAAATGCTGTGTTAGTTTTACGCCCAGATGTAACGGGACACACACATCATTCAAAAATGTAAACTTTTGTCTCATCAGTCTACAGAATATTTGCCCAAAAGTCTTAGGGATTAATCAAGAGGTTTTTGGCAAATGTGTAACAAGCCTTTGTGTTCTTTGGTCAGCAGTGGCTTTCGCCTTGGAACTCTCCCATGGATACCTAGTCTCTCTCTCATTGTTGAATCATGAACACTGACCCTAACTGAGGTAAATGAGGCCTGAAGTTCTTTAGATATTGTTCTGGCTTCTTTTAAGACCTGAGTAGTCGTTGTGCTCTTGGAGTAAATTTTGGTAGGCCGGCCACTCCGCTGTAGAAATGGCTTTGTAACACTTTCCAGACTGATGCCAATTACTTTAACATCTGTTCTAGAATTCTTTAGATTGCGGAATAGTGGTGTTGCTTTTTGAGATCTATTAGCATGATTCACTTTGTCAGCATCTATGTAAGTGATTTCTTGATTCAAAAAGGTAGTAATCAGGCCAGGGTGTGGCAAGTGAAATTTAACTCAGCTTTCCAAAAAATTTGACTAATCATGATTTAGCAAAGGAATGGGGGAGGGGAGGGGGATTACTCTTTCACTTAGGGTCAGGCAGGTTTGACCAGCTTTTTTCCCTTAATAAATTAATCATGCAAGTGTGACAATAATGCAAAAAAAAAAAAAAAATCAGGAAGGTGGCAATTACTTTTTTCACAGCACTGCACAAATCTTTGGTTTTATTTAAGCAAGAAAATGACACGTGGTGTGATTGGCTTTTGTCTGTTGGTTTGCATTTGGTATTAGGGATTAAGGGATTCTGTTTTAATTACTACCACTGTGGTGCCACTCTTGCCAAAAAGATTATAGACATGTTATGGTTATTTTCATGTTGTGAACAAAAAAAAAAACCTGTCACTCCCAGTTACTAATCAAGAAGATAGAGTGTGATATCATAAGGCACAAACCTGGAACTATATGCGCATATATAGTGCCAACAAGTGACCCATTCCAGTATGCACATATATTATGCAGAGGAAGCATATTAAATGTTTAGTGGCACTCACTCACTCACAGCGAGCATTATTTTGCTGTATGAAATGGATGTTGTGCAGATTTTACCATCTACTACTACAATGGTCCATTAAACCAAATAATGTGAGACTTGAAAATGCATCTTCTACTCAACTTAGATTTCTAGGCATCAATGGTGTTCATTTTTAAAGTGGCAGTCCATGTTATATCTAACCAAGTTTAAAATGGCTCCCCCTACCCTCCTAATGCCTAGTACACACAATCAAATAATCAAATATTCGGTATGACTTATTGTTTGTTTCTTGTCGCATACTAGTCTCATATCAAAAAATGAAGAGGTTGCTAAAGTTACGAAAAAATTCTCATGACAGAATACAGCTTCGGAAGTGATGTAATGTATTCTTTAGCTTCTGAGCATGCGTGATCTTGGCTTCTTGATTTTTTTCAGACAAATTTTGTGCTTGTTCCTTCCAATATTGTTACATGAACTGTCGAGATCTGCTGTTAAAAGCTGTGTACTAACGATCAGATTATTGTATGATCCCTCCGAAAGTGATTTTTTGTCATCCAATTTTTTGATTGTGTATGGGGTATAGCTCCTATTTAAACTACCCTGTAGAAGGAAGATGCTTATACTCACCTATTCTCAGAGCTCTCTGGTCTAGTCACATGACCGGCTCCCAGCTTCAGGGCAGAGGAGGGACAGCCGACAATGGATGCCCCATAGTAAGCCTATGGGTGTCATCACCACCCAGGCATTCCAGCAGTTGTGGGAGTTTATGTGCCTGGACCGATGCACCCTGAGAATAAGAAGAAGCACTTTCCTTCTGCATGGCAGTAAGAACATCTGTTAGAAGATAAAGATTGCAGCAGAAAGCAAGTTTACAACATACCTTGTAGATAGAGTAGGCAGCATGACCAGTCCAGCGGTACTTCTCTGGAGAAAGCTGCATACGAGTTTTAATGACATCAGCTGGCTGGGTGCTTATGGATGCAAGGATACCAGCCATGATACCACAACTGAAGTTCATTATGGGAGTGAAGGTTTGGTCAATATTTCCTGCAGATAAAAAAAAAAAAAAAGACATGCTTTATAGTTTGATCTAGACAGCATAATATGTCTCTCTGACATTGTACTATTTATATTTTATTGCATATTATTTAACATATAATGTTTAATACTATATTAAAAATAATTTATAACATTTTTATGGTGCTACCAAATCCCAGACTAGACAGTACATAGATGGAAATCCCATACACCAGACAGATAACGAAAAACAGATAAAAGATTGAAAAAGCATTACATAAAAATAGCATTACACTACCATACATTACTCATCTAACACTAAGCGACCATATATAATGTATATCACTACTATAGATTTAGACTTAATCTCAGGATTGGGTGTTGGCTATCCCAGACATAATTGTATTGAGTTGATGTTGCAATGTTTTATGGCAATCATTTTTTTTTTTTTTTTTTTTTTTTTTTTTAACTGTGTGGAAAAAAAAAAAAAATTTTCATGAAGTTCCCTCATGTTGTGCCGATAAAATCCAGTTTTTTTTTTCTTAGGTAACATAGTTCCAAATTATAATATATATATATATATATCCTCTTTGGGATGTGGCACGGTGATGTTCTACCTATTTCCGATGTCCCTTATTAGAAACTGTAGGAAGGACAAAAAAAGGTACTCTGTCATGTGAAAAGGAGCCATAGCTGCTAAGTAGACCCTATGGCATCATGCACACTGACTCTCAAACACTTTTCCCAACCACAAAATTCAGAATCAAAAACGGGGTAAAAAGCCACAATTCTGCATGCATGTTAATATGCTTTCATGCACTTTCCCACATCTGGCATTAATGCCTTCTACAGTATTGGACAGAAGTCTGGCCATTAGAATGCATTAACATGGGAACGCAGGTTAACGTGTATTAATGCGTGCTGATGGGCGTTCAACTTTTTAGTGTTTTTTGTGCCCAAAAGCTCCTCTCCTGAATGCACAAGTGATGTTTTATTTGCCTCTAAACTCCCTTGCCACTAAACTTCTGAAAATACCTATAGTGTGCATAAAAACATAGGCTAACATGGAGGCGCATTAAAAGGCAGAGAGTTGCACTATGCATGAGGCCTAACAGTCCTGACAACATCTAGAAAGTGCAAGGAAATCTCCTTGGCATGTTTCGGAGCTGGAGCTAGACACACCCTGCTGGTTTTCAACAAAACCTGGACAATGAATTGGAGATTTCCCTCAAGACATGGAGAAAGCTGGAAAAATGGTTCTCAGCTGAAAAATCGATACTCTGGAGTTTCGCACTCTGCACACATGTGAACCCTGTGTCCATTTTCAAACCATTTTCATATTTGTGCACATGAAAGGAACGTGCATTTTTTCCCCCACACCAGGAGCTTCGCCTTACGAATCTGGAGAAGACAAATGCTTCTGCCACCAGTGGCCTTCTCATTGATCTCATCCAAAGATCTCAAAAGCTTATCTGCCACATGGGGAGCTGGATTTTTCAGAGAGCCTGGTCAGCCAACCGCAACACTTCCACAAAAAAAAAAAAAAAAAAAAAAAAAAAAAAAAAAAAAAGAAGAGGACATCCTGCACATGAGCACAGATACTTTTGTTTTGCCTTCTTTTGAAACAAGGCTGAAGGAATTGTGTGTAGTATTGAACCTATTATTAATCTTAGTATGTTGGGAGGAGGGCACATTATTGGAGCAGCCCATTCAGCGGATATAGAGAAACATGGCTGTTTTACCACACTTTGCACATTACCACTTCTGTCTTTTAACCACTGCTTCCTGTCCACCGTTTATAGGCAGTGGGAGGATGGGAAGCCGTGCCAATGTGGGCTAATGTTCACATTGGTGGCTCCTGCATGGCTCATACCCGACGATCCGTGCCATCTGGACACAGTGGATCACATTACCGCTGTGTCCAGGTGATTATATGCTATTTTACCATGAGACTGCTGTGTGTCCAATCACAGCAATCACATAGTAAACAATAGAAACTGAAAGTATTGGTTCTCTCACTGAGAGGAGAGAGAACAGATGCTGCAGCCTGTGAGTCAGGCTGCTTGTACACTCTCAGACTGCAGTACCAGCCACCCCAGTGTCCCTGATCACTGATCAAAATAAAATTCAGCCAGCACCTGTCCCAGTGCTCACAAAACCACCACCATACCAGTGCCCTGATCACCGCCATACCCCACACCAGCGCCCTGATCACCGCCATACCCCACACCAGCGCCCTGATCACCGCCATACCCCACACCAGCGCCCTGACCACCGCCACACCCCACCACACCAGCGCCCGGACCACCGCCACACCCCACACCAGCGCCCGGACCACCGCCACACCCCACACCAGCGCCCGGACCACCGCCACACCCCACACCAGCGCCCAGACCACCGCCACACCCCACACCAGCGCCCTGACCACCGCCACACACCCCACACCAGCGCCCTGATCACCGCCACACCCCCACACCAGCGCCCTGATCACTGCCATACCCCATACCAGTGCCTGATCACTACCATACCCCATACCAGTGCCCTGATTACCGCCATACCATACCAGCACCCTGATAACCGCCATACCCCATTCTATTGTAAAGCGCTTAGAAAACTGTTGGCGCTGAATAACTCCTGTATAATAATATTACCAGCATCCTGATTCCCGCCATGCCTCATACCAGCGTCCTGAGCACAGTCATGAGTCATACCAACATCCTGATCACTGCCATACCCCATAGCAGCGTCCAGAATTTCAGGGTCTATTTAACCACTTGCCTACTGGGCACTTATACCCCCTTCTTTACCAGGCCAATTTTGAGCTTTCAGCGCTGTCGCATTTTGATTGCCAATTGCGCGGTCATGCAAGATTGTATCCATATGAAATTTTTTTCGCACAAATAGAGCTTTTTGTGGTAGTTAATCACCGCTGGGTGTTTTTACTTTTTGCGCTATAAACAAAAAAATGCAAAAAATTAAAAAAAAAAAAATAAAAAAGTTTCTTTGTTTCTATTATAAAATTTTGCAAACAGGTAATTTTTCTCCTTCACTGATGTGCGTTGATGAGGCAGCACTGATGGGCACTGATAGGCGGCACTGATGGGCACTGATAGGCGGCACTAATGAGGTGGCACTGATGGGTACTGATAGGTGGCACTAACTGGCATCACTGCTGGGCACTGACTGGCACAACCACTGGGCACTGACAGCACTGGTGGGCGGCACAATTGTGTGGCACTGGTGGGCAGAAGTGGTGGGTGGCACTGTTGCGCACCGATCATTAGGGCACTGATCACACTGTTCAACAGGTAAAAAGTTTTGGGCATAAAATTAGCTAATCTTACATAATTTTGGGGTGCTGAAAACGAAAATGCCCTAAAAAATGTTGATTGGCTCTAGTTTCCATGATATATTCACCCATCTAATGACGTAAGCCATTCAAAATTATGATGCAACTGAGCTGCATATTGCGCAATTGATACTGGTGACCAATAGAAAATTGCATGTATACTGAGATGATGCAATATTAGCCTTTAATTGCATCACTTCACTGCATAAAAGCTGCTGTATCTGTAGCTGATTGTAGTTCGACAGCGTCTTTACATTTCGTTTTACTGCTTATATAGGCTACTCAGTAATGCCTCAAACTTGTGTGAATAAAGCAGATAATTTCTGCTATATCTGCGGTGAAATAACTTTTATCTCACAAAAAAGGAGGATAACAGGAATGATTAAGAAAGCCTACAACTTGTATTTTGGCTGCAAGATAGGAGACCAGGACAAGAGCTGGGCCACATATATGCTGCAATTCTTGTGGGACGGCACTGGAGCAATGGTTGAATGGAAAAAAGGCATCTATGCCTTTCGCTGTGCCAATGATTTGGAGAGAGCCAAAAGATCATGTTAGGCATTGTTACTTTTGTATGGTGCCTCCAATGTAAAAGGGCTAAATAAGAAGAAAAAAGTTATCTGTGCACTATCCAAATATTCCATCGGCAATACGTCAGTTCTCATGGAGAGGGGCTACCAATTCCTAAAGCACCAGAATCCTTCGTGGTTGAGTCAAGTGAGGAAGAACCTGAAGCAGTCACGTGCAGTTGTAAGAGATAGCCCTTTCCTCGAATACAAGAGAAAAGCCAAGAGAAGCAAAACCGACACAAACTGAAGACAAAACTAGTGAGAATCCTAAGTATTAAAATGATTCAACTTAGCTTATGGCTATAATTTTTCTTGGTAATCCTATGCAATATATTATGCCATTTAGGCTTTGTTATGTAGTCAATATCACTTGCTTTATATTTGTGGAAAGACATCTATCTATATAATTATTGTGCATTATGTAGTCATTACGCCTATAGTAGAAAACTTTCCATTTACAGAAAAACTAGAGCCAATTGACAAATTTCATTGTTATATTTGAACTCAGAATGTGAAATTCATTAAGAAATGGATCCTTTTGTTTCCAAAACTGGCAAAAAATAAAAATTTGTTGAACAGTGTCATCAGTGCTGTGATGATCGGTGCTGATCCCTGCTCTGACAACTGCCGGTTCTCGGCAGTACTTTCCTCATGCTCTGACAGCGTGAGGAAAGTGCAGCCGAGAACTGGCAATTGCATTTCCCTGTGATCAGCGTGTCATTGGACACGGCTGATTACACGTGGTAAAAGGCCACTGTGATTGGCCTTTTACCACATCACGTGATCAGCTGTGTCCGTAGGACACAGCAATCATGGAGATTGCCGGGTACGCGCCCCCGGAGGCGCGGAGGAGAGCACGTTCTGGGAGGAGACGTCATATGACGCCCTCCCAGAACTGGCTGGCCGCAGTATAGCCGTCATTCGGCTATCTGCGGTCGGCAACTAGTTAAACCAGACGTGCTGTGGTGTGCAAAAAAAAAAAAAGTGAACAAGCCTTAAATAGGCTATGACGCACCATAACCGGATAGCAGGGAAACAGAAGGGTGGAGCTTGGCACCAAAGTTATAGCACAGAGTCCCTATAAAAACAATCTCGGAGAAGGGGCTCAGAGG